CTGGCTTCCGGGGGAGACATGTTTCTTGAGCTAGGTTCCCAGGGCCTCCTGCCATTCATTGTCAGACTGGCTGGGAAATTGGAAAACTCGAACAGTGGCTGCCCTGGTCTTTGGGGTGCTGAGATGGTCAGATGAGACTGACAATGGATGCCCACAGCCGCTGCAGCCCTGTGAGCAACAGCAGAGCCGCACGGCTGCAGAGGCCTCCCTCAGGGATGGGAAGGGGCAGTGACTCTACCCTGTCCCACCCAACCCCATCTGCTGCCTGGCCTGTGTTCTCTGTACCTATTCTAGTCCGCTCCACTCAGCCCTGTTCTATCCTCACCCGCCTACTCATCCACCCCCACCTGGCCCAGCCCACTCTGCCCCTGTCCCTGCCCTCCACTAGAGGGGCACCATGCCCCAGCCCATGGGTTCAGGGTGAGTGCTGACTCTGTACCCCATGGCTGTGGCTGTCACTGCTCACAAGTGCATAGGGCACAAGTCCTGTCAGTGCCCCCACCCCAAAACCGCCTCCATGACAGCCAGGGGGAGTCACATGCCTCCCCTTCCTAGCTCTGACACCTCCCCTCAGGGGCCTGTATAGATGTGGTCCTGCCTAGCCTACTTTCTACCGCCTCCGAGTCCTGTCAGCATACCCCCACTTTCCTCCTGTGGGAGAGTCCTGGTGGGACGGGTCAGCCCTGGGCTCTAGCCAGACCTCAAGGGTGGCAATCTCTATTCACAGGCCTGGTGCTTTCTCTGATATCTCACATGGTTTGAGTGGGCCGAGGGCTGGCTCTGCTGTTAGGGGAGACCCCTCTCCTTCCCTCCCTGCTCCTCAGAAGACACACACAGAGAACAGGGGTTGCCTTGCTGCCCTCAGACCCTCTCCTCACACGCCTCCCTTCACTCTTACGATGTCCCGCCTGACATGCCATGGCTTAGTGTGGCTGCAGGAAGGGATGGCCATGTGCTGCCTCTTCTGCCCCCTCCCCATGGGGGGAAGGGGAGGCCTTGAATCTCAGTGGAGTGGTGAGTTCTAAGATTTGGGCACAGAGGAAGCAGTTAGCTGGCTTCTGAAGCCAGGTGTGGTTGAAGGGCAGCCACATGGACCCAGAACTGGCCCGGGCAAATGGCAACCTGTCTCCCGGAGCTGTCAGGCTATGGATAAAGGGTCATATAACCAGTGTCAACTGTGCACACATCTTTCTGGGGACATGTGGGGAGGCAAAGGGCAGAGAAGTAGTTCTGAGTCCTCTGTGTCAAAGAACTCCTTTTTACAACAAACCACGTGTGCCTGGCACAGATTTAACAAGGTGAACCAGGGTGGCATTGCACAATGCTCCCTTCACGGGGACTTCACCCAATAACATTCCCATGTTTATAATGCCCACCCCCAAGCATTTGTGGAGAGACCTGTGCTTGAAACCAGTACAGCCCTATTAAAAACTTATGGGCTGCAAATACATTTGTTAGCTTCACGGACCGACTTTCACCAAGTTTGCTGGGCACGTCTGCAACTGTCTAAGCTGCTGTTGGGTCCTGAGCAGGATCAGCCATGGCCAGTGGGAAGAAAGCACACGGGGTGAGGGCTACGAGACTACATGGGTACCTGAAAACCTCGCAGACTGGTGTGGGCCCCAGCTTGCTCTGGGTCTCTTGGACCACTGTCCAGGTGACCAGCTGTGCTGCATGGCAGGGGATGTCACATACTTTTCGCTGTTTATTCCACTGTCAACCCTTGTGGGCCAACACCTGCTTAGAGGGAGCTCAGTTCATACCATGTGACCTTCCTCCAGAACTGATCAAAGGTTTCCAGCAGATGTTTCACATTGTGTATGTTCTGAGGTGTATCTTAGGTAACTTGTTATTGTGCCAAAAATTAGCCAGGCTTTTCAAAATGTAATATACACACAGAATGGTCTACCACTCAGCCTTCAAAAGGAAAGGAAAACAAGCTTCTAGTTTTCAGCCATGCCCTGGTTACCTCATGGCAAGCACATGGGCCAGTTTATACTTCCTTTTGGGTAGATGAGGCCATTGCCTTCAGAATTTAGTTTGATGGGGCCCAGGTTTGGAATGAGTTAATCCCAGAGGACTGGCATGGTTGAACATGTTAAGTAACAGAGGCAGAGTAACCAAGAGCGTGGAGAAGGCAGGCCTGGCTGTGCATCCCTGCTCTTCAGCCGGCCGTGAGGAAAGCCGTTCAGATCTCTTCCTTCCAGGATTGTGAAAATCAGATGAGACTGCACAAGACTCCTTGGGTCTGGCTCTTGGCTCCTTTATTTCTTCCTGAGAAGGCTGGTGAGTAGAAGGTTCTTAGTGACAGGTTATGTCTTAGGAAGGAAAGTCAAAAGCACTGTGGTGCCTGGAGGCAGGGGGGTATGAGAGAACAGCTGTGATTACTAACACGTGGCCTTGGAGCCCAGTCCTGAAGATTATACCTTAAAGTAACTGACAAATGGCAATGTACTGTGTCAACTCTCTTAGCCTGTCCCTGGCACCCACAGGGCACAGGGCAGCCAGCTGCATCCTTATCAGAACAGCTTTCAAACCCAAACCTCAGTGCCAGCCTGCAACACAACTCCCTGACCTTCGCTGGGTCCCCACTGACGTATCTCCTGACTTTTCTGGTCCACAAAGACCTTTGGCAGTTTGGGGGAGAGCTCTGAGCTTTCTGAGCCAACTCAACATCAAAAAACCACTTAGAAACAGCCAAGAGGTCCAAAAGTGGTCCTCGCCAAGGGATTACGGGGGAAGTCAGAGACATGCATTCTCACCATCCAGGTGGTGTTGGAACAGACCTGTGAATCTTGTGGTTAGTTCATCAGTACAGGTCACATCCCCGGCAATGAGGAATATGTTCTGCAGTGGCACTGGTACACCTGAGGCTCTGACATTTGCACGTCTGCAGACTGCCACCTTTGTGGGCAATGTGATGCTCCCTTTTGGAACCAGTGTCCCATGTACTGCTGGGATGCATCTGGTGTTTCTCCAGCTCACAGTGCTGGTGACACAGCACATAAGAACTTGCAGAGTTTTGAGTTAGTAGAGGACAAGACACAGTGACAAGAGCAAGGCTAACCCCCCTTTATAGAAGCCACTAATCACACTGAGCATCTAGAGTTCAAACAATTGGCTTAAGGAGATGGTAGCCTGGGTCAGTGCCAAGCTGTTAACTAGAAGCATGCCAGGAACTAAAGTCTCCAGGAGCAACCTCAGATGTTGGTCCAGACAAGAGAAGTGAACTTCTGAACAGGGCACCACTCTGCTGCCCCTGACCAAAGCCCTTCATGCTTTAACCTTAACGTTTCCCAGTGTTGGTCATGTCCTAGGGTCAGCCCCATTCTCCTCAGCTCTTGCAATGGCTTTTCCACATAGAGAAGCCTAACTTGTCACTTGAGGCCAGTGACAAATCTTGCAGAAAAATGAATAAAGGAGTTGAGGGTAACTATGATCAAACTACATTGTGGGAAATTCTTAAAGGAATAATTAAAGTATTAAAAAAAAGAAACAATGTATACAGCAAGGGTGTTTAATAGGTGAAAGTTTTGGTGGGCTAACCTTCCTTTGGGAAGAATTTTTATACTTCTTGAACCGTGATTTCTCCTAATGTTCTGTGTGACCGATATCCAAAGCTTAAGAATTCAGGGGTCTACAAGGGCCTGGCTGGCAACCCACATCTAAGGCAGTAGTCTTTCTTGCCAGAGCCTTACAGGGCTGCCTTGACTACACCTCCAGCAGTTTGAAGACATTCACCTAGGGAACATGGGTACTTCTTTCCTCTTGACTGGGGTAAGAGTCAAATGCCCATCTAAGAGCACAAGTCTCTCTAGTCTGGCAAGACCCTGCTTTCCTCAGCTCAGCCTCACTGAATTAGTGGCAAAATGTGACAACAGAACTGAGCTCTTGACAGGACTGCCTGCAAGTCTGCAATTCCCGGCATCCAATCTTCTTCTTAATGGGAAAAACAAAGCAAGAGTGCACATAAAAACCTGCCTGCTAAAACACACAACGCGGGTCAACTGAGCATCTGTAGGTAGGAATTTCCTCTGGGTTGGTCTATTCTGCCATCTTTTCTTGGGTGGGATCAGTGTGGGATGGCTGTGCAGCCTCAGGAAGGAAAAGACCCTCTGGGGATCGAGACACACCTCTTTGCACATGCAGTAGGGTAGAGGACTATTCTGTCCTGACAAGGCCATCAGCTTGTTCTGTGGAGATGGTACTATATCCAGGAGGGAAACAGATCACACCTGAGGTGGCTTCCAACTGTGCTGAGGGTGGAGCCAGCTTGCTTTTAACACAAAGGCAGGTGCTGTAAAAATCTTGCTGAGTTCTTGAAAGGCAATACAGTCTCACCGAGGGCATTTGTGGTAAAGGGGGAAAGTAAACATCCATTTTAGATCTGGGCTGGGCATGACTCTACCTCCAGCACCACAAAACATCCAAATGCAACAAATTAGATAAACAATATCCAGTGTCCTCAATTAAGAACAAGGACTTAGTTTGAAGCAATCTTTGCTATACCCAAGGCCCAGTACTTGATGTGTGATCAAGGCCCAGCATCACCTGGGAGCTTGTGAGATACCAACTTTTGGGCCAGTGAGTAAAGGTGTATGCCACCAAGTCTGATTACCTGAATGCACTCATTAGGACACAGGTGGTAGAAACAGAGAATCAATATCTGCAAGTTGTCTTCTGACCTCCACACATGCAACCTGTCCTTCTCACCTCACCCCAACCCAGGCCAATAACACCCAGCTCCCCCTCCCTGTCCTGAGACACTCAGGGGCACTGGTACTATCTAAGCTTGAGATGAGTCGGAACATTCAACAAGACACTACCTGCTCCTGACCAGCGCACCGATCAGCCTGAACCAGGGTGCGTCTAAGTTTCAACCAGCAGTCCTTCATTCCCACCAGTCACAGGAGAGGAAGGGGAGTCACCTCCACAGACAGGCGCTAAGATTGTGTTGAGGCTTTAAGGAAAAACCATCAAATGACTTTATTGTAAAACATCTGCTATTTATTGACAATTGTTCTTCTAAAAACACAAACATGAGAACGGAGCACCACATCCAGAGTGACTCGCCCCTGCAGCTAGTGAGATGCCAGGACAGTGGGGCTTTCCTTGTCCCCAAGTCTCAATTCATCACTCCCTCCAGGGCTCCAAGCTACCTCTGACAAGACAACGGAAATCACTAAAATCTCCAAGCACAGGAAGGTCACAATAACCTTAGGGATACGACACTAACTGCTGCACATTCCAGCCTGTAACTCTAGCAACAATATAAATAGCTGCTCCCATTGCCCTTGGCTGTCCTGACCGACTAGCCAAAGCCTGGCTTCTGCATACTGCAGAGCACAAACGCTAACATCCACATGCACAGTCCGTGTTCAAGTATAGAGGTTTGTTCAGCATAGCCCAGGTCATGTAGTGCTTAAACCTCTGTAGTGTCTGTCTACTGTGGTCAGACCCTGGGACACGCCTGTCAAAGGTGGCACAACGCACGAGCTGTCCATCCAATGTGGACACCACCCCAGTCAAGGCCAAAGTCTTGACATCAGTAGTGACATGGTCGACTCAAGTTATAGCCGTATGAAACAGGAATCCATTTCGTTTCTTCATTAAATGGAGTTTCCAAAGGTGTCAGGCATATTCTAAAAATTAAAAAAAAAAATCATTTCAAAATGCTACTTTTGATCTGGACCTGTATTCATTAAGTACATGTTCCTAAAAGGATTTACAATGAAATGGAAAAGATTTAACACAAACAAATATTTTACATTCCATGATGAATCAAGGATCTCTCCCAAGAGGCACAAGAAGGCAGCCCTTCAATTGCTCATGTTCAAAGGCCTAGATCAATTGCCTCCCTACCCAATTTATTAGTACCAGCATCTTAACAACTCACTAGCAGCAGAACAAGGGACCAGAACACCCCCCAGGGGTGTGATGATGGCAGGTGAGGGGTCTATTGCTCATACAATGGTTCCCCAAACCTGGCACAGCATTCACCTCTATCTCCAGCTAATTTTTAAAGTTTAGATTAAATCTAAACCTGAGACAGGGAACAGAGAGCTGCATGTACTCCACAGTGGCAACCTGGAGACGCAGAGCTCATGGTGAAGGTCTCACTTTTGACAGCACTTGGGAATGCTGCTTGATTTCATATGAAAATTTCATATGAAAATGTCAGCCAGCGCCAGAGCCACGGTTAAGCAATCTCAGAAGATGACCTCCACGAGTCCCCTGTGCAAACCAGTTGCCACAATGGTCCCTGATGAGGTTTCCTGTGGTGACTTGGATGCTCGGCACTGGTACAGAGCACAGCTGCCAATGTGGGAACACACTAGACCTGAACTCACTGAGATGGCTCACTGGGGTGAACTCCACGCTCGGCTCTCAACAGGTGTGAACAGGACGTGTAATCACAGCTTATCCCGTTTCTAACCATCTCCACATCAACCAGCCAGAGGAAAGATGGGGTGCCAAACCTTAGGAAGTGTCTTGGGATGGTGCTGGAGGATCCTGGCTTTCAGGTTCTGGAGGGGGAGCTGGCATAGCTTCTTTTTTCTGGGCTGCCAGGAACTCGTGGATTGCTCGCTCTATCTGTGGCCTGAAGATGTGATTTAGTTTGGGGTCCACCACCTGAGAAATGATTCTGTCCACTCCTGCTTCCAACATGCCTGACCTGTGGAGATAAGACAAACTACTGTAATTTAGTTCTCAAGAGTTCCCCTGTGCACCAATAAGCCCCAAGTGCCATTCAAGAGCTCAGAAAACATCCATTTTCCCCAGAGTTTTAGGCCATTGGCCTTTCATTTGAGGGGATTCACAGCCACCTGACAACCACCATTCCTAATGCGGTCTCAACTTTGTACAAAGAAAATAATCAAAGCTGAGCAGACTGCACCAAATCACAAGAACCTGACCACAAGTGTAGGGTGAAATTGCAGTCACAGTGTCAAAGGCAGTAAGCCTTGTTGTGCCTTAGTTTCCCTCAGAATTTATTCTTATCAGCCAGAACAGAAGAGGCTTCCAACAGCAACTCAGTTACTACATCCAACACAAACCAGGTGAGATGTTTTTGATGACTGGTGAGACACATAAAGACTAGACATGCAATATACAGTTGCTCAATGAGAGACAACATGGGCTGCTTTAGATGCCATACTCCCCTAGTTTTACATGGGTGTTAATTTTCTTCATTTACAAGATCTCGATTTCAGTGGTCATAAGCCACCGCGAGTACTATAGTGCTTGTCAGCAAAGTCCTTTTTCTATTTTTAATAACCCCCCCTTTCTCTCGGAACTCACTATATAACCAAGGCTGCTTGATTTTCCTTATCTTCCTGCCTCTCAGCCTCCTGAGGTCTAGGATGACAGGAGTGTGACAGGTATCGTATTTGGTTGAACTCAACAGATTCTTAAAGAACTTATCCCGTGCCACAAAGGTGAAGACCCCACTTCAACACCAACTCATTGGGATCAACTTCTATCACATGAGCCTGGGGGTGGGTAGGGAGGGTGATACAGTACAACTTCCCTACATGAGTTGCTTAGAGTATGCACCAGAACAACTAAGATCACCAACAGTATCAGGAGAGCCGGGCACTCCAGCTTTCTCACTCCAACTCCCTTCATGCGTTGGGCAGCCACCACTGGCCATACATCTCTGCACCGGTAGCAAATGAAGTCATTCCTCAGTTTTCCAAGACTTGCTTTTCTCACCGCAATCCCCTGATACTTCTATTTTCAGGGTCCTGCTTCATAAGCTTTTATTCAACAATTCAGTGAATTAAGAAGTGCTGGATATAAACCCTGGTGTTAAAAGACAAGATGGTTTCTGAAACAGACCAGAAAAAACTTACCTTGGAATCCATGACCCATGCCCAGTGTTCCAGTAACAATGAGGTCACTCCTGTGAGTTCTCTATAGCGCCTCCTCTAACAAATGTTCAGTTTATTTCTGTGAAGGACAATGTCTTAACAGGACACCTTTCTGCAAACTGTCACCACTTTAGCAGCCACGGTCACAGAACATACAGGACTCACTTTGCTGGCCTGCACCCAAACACTGGCATCCTGGCATAAAACTCATTCTCCTGTTCAGATGACAACGAACCAAGCCTGACAACCTGAAGACATTCCAGAGTTACCACTGAATGTGCATACCCAGGAGGCGCCCAGAGCGAGCAGGGCTCTGCTCATCTTCCCCCATGCATGAGACTGTAGATGGCTACAAAGCACCATGGACCAGGAGTCCCATGAACAGAGATCAGCCTGTGCAGCAGCATGCTGGAACATCCAGTTTCCTCAATGATTTACTTACTGGACCACGCTCTGCCTCAGCCCATTTCGCAACTGGTTCTTGTTCATTGTAGGATTCCATTCCTGTTTGTCCAGATGTGTTGACACAAAATTATCCACTTTCTGCCTCAGATTCTGGTAAGCTGGCTGAGACATTCAGAAGAAGAGACCAAGTTAGTTAGTGCACATGCCAAACTTGTGGAACCCGAGCTGTTCGGAACACTGCCTTTCATAGAAACACATTTTCTCATTTAAACACTTCCACCTGCCCTCAGAACTCACCCTGCAGTCGATAGGCACAGTGCAGGGCATTACCTACATAAATCAATCTACTTTTAAAGGAACTCCACAAGGGAGGGCCTATTAGTATTTATTCTGCCTGAATTTAGACATTAGACTTTCAGGCTTCAAAGAGTAAACAAAAGTGCCCTCCAGCTTGCAACGTGGCCAAATACAGATGCAGGCTGTTTCTCCAAAGGAAGGAACTGGTTTCTAGGTCAAGGTGACTTTTCATGAGTCACCAGACTTCAAAGTTTCAGTAATTTTCATCCATAAAATGCAAACATTCCTGCCTGCTTGACTCACAATGGGTGCTCGCAGCAGCACACCTAGGAACAGCCCCTCCAAATGAAAGGGCCACCCAAACCTCAGCAAGTCACTACAGCTAATGCCAAGGGAGCTCTGTGAAGAGTTTCCAGGCAAAGCTGTGACCCAAAGGAGCCTGAGGCACTTACTCTAACAGTTCCTACATGCTTGAGAACAAGACTCACTGTGAGTACATGGAATGCATCTTCTGCCACTCCAGCCTCCTTCCTCTCCTACTGAAGGCAGTTAATACCGCCTCCCCCACGCTGAGTGGTGTCACTTACTCCAGGACTGAACTGGTCCCAGATGAGAACATGTAGTGGGTGTGGCTTGTGGCCTAAGGTGTGTAGATGCAGCATCAAAGCCGTAAGACAGGCTCAGGGAGCCTGCAGTTGACAGCCAAGCCACCAGCTGATGCCTATCTAGATCAGCTGGCTTGGGTTGTTACATGTAGTCCTAACAGCTGAGGAGCCCTAACTCCACCACCTTAATCTTGGCAAGCTGGTTTTGTAAAGGGAAAAGGGATGTTCTAGCTACTACTACATACCTGACCCTTCATACACATTCCCAACAACTTTTCCAAGTAAGATGAATTAGTATTTTTACTTGAGAGACTGGCTTTTGCACTAGGTCTAACATGGGCATCAACACCCTTTAGATACAAAATAAGGGTGCTGACTCTACAGCTTATCCCAATTTGACCGAATATAGGTCTGCAAATTATTCCGCTGGGGAAAGAGAATTACTGTGTCGTTCAATCCATTCCATGTTTAAAATCACCTCTCCGGTGGTGAACAGAAATTGGGTAGAGCTTCTAAAGCCTTTCCTGACTGTTCTAAAACACGAGTTTCTTTGGTACAGGTTACATGTGTGCAGCCGTAAAAGAATTTCCAAGTTCAAGAAAGGCGGGCGACTGAACCAAAAATTACAGCTGGTAAGTGAAGGGGGAGAGCAGTGCACAAGTGTGCACTACTCGGAAGGCGCCCGCACTGCTCTCCGCGGCGCATCTAGGAGGCTCTGGAGCAGCCTTTTGTTTTACTCCCGGTTCTGGCACGTCAAAACAGTGGGGTGCACCGCACCGCCTCGCCCCCACGGCTCGGGTACCTTGGTGTCTACGTCGGCCAGACAGTCCCGGCGGAAGCTATCGAACAGGCCACGGCTCTTGAGCTGCTCCACTATGAGAGCGATGAGCTGCGGGTCTCCGGGAGGCAGCGAAGCGGGATTGACTGGGCCCCCCGCCCCACTCGAGCCCGATGCCGGTCCCGAGGCTTGGCCCGCTGCGCCTGCTCCCACACCGTCCGCCATGGCCGCACCCCGCGCCCGCGCCGGGCCCCGCGCTCGGCTGCTCCTCCGGGAGCCGCGGGCCGCGTTGCGCAGACACGGAGGGCCCCACGGAGGCGGCGGCGACGGAGGCGGCAGGGTGGGAGGCGGCGGGGACCACGGCGCTCCCCGCTCGCAGCGCAGCTGGCGCCCGTCTAATGGCGTCACCGGTGGCCTTTGCATTGTGGGACGGTTGGTTTCCTGGAGCCATCGCTCAAGTTCTTATAGACTGTGTCTGGCCGTTGAAAACTACAACTCCCGGCAGGCAATTGGCTAGCTCGCGCTAGTTCGCGGAACAGCATGGGAATTGTAGGCTCAAGCCTTAGCAAGGGCTTGAACCTGGTCAGTCACTGCAGCCTTCCCTAATCAGACCTCCCTGCAGAGCAATCACGTACAAAGCTGACTGTAAGATTATATCTTAAAGACTGATTCAGTAGCTGTTTCCCTGTCTCGCAGCCTGCGCTTTTGACATGTACTCAACTCCCACGGCCTCCTTGAACAGTATGATCTGGAAAGTCTGGTTAGCAATGGATAGATCATAATTCTTTTTCAACAAAAATAACTTTACATTTATTTTGTGTGGCAGGGATGGACAATACTACAGCGCTTGTGTGGAGGTCCGAGGACAACTTGTGGCACACTTGTCCCTCCTATAATGTAGGTCGTGGGAATCGAACTCGTATTCTCAAGCTGGGTGGCAAGTGCTTTTGTCCACTGAGCTATTTAGCAGGCCTACTAGAAATACTTATGTTAAAAAGTTTGCACCTGTGTGTTTGATTATTAATAGCAACGCAGATTTTTTTTTACAAAATCATAAAATAAATAAATAACCCTACTATTAAGTCTTTCTTGCCTGTTTAGATTCTTTCTTCAATATTAAATATTGTTAGTATTACTAATAGTAGAGCCACTAAGTAGAATGTGCTAAAAGTAATACTGCTGCACTCTTTAAACACTTTCACAGCTATCTGAAAGCCAGTACCACTATTTCTTTCTGCAGATACAGAAATGGAGGAATAGAAATAATTACTCTGGTCCTATACCTAGAAGCAGAAGAGTATTTTAACTCATGCTTCCTGTGTTCCAGTGTTTAACCAAAGACATCCACAGAACTGAGAACTCACTGTCATTTTACAAGTAAAATAATACTCTAGCATTTATAGCCACAAGTCTGTACTGAAATCCCCGATGTTGCCACTGCCAGAAATAAGTTTGGGATTGCAAAGAGAGACCATTGCTCCAGCTGATGTGTTTATACAAGGAGAACTTTACTCTTGATCAAGAGGGTATGCTGGGGTGGGAAAAGGCAGGGAACCAGACACACCTAGACAGGAAGTGCATTTGGTTTTTATTCTAAGGAAGGTGGTGGCTGTGTCTTTCCGACTAGGGTCCAACCTCACAATCTTTTTTCAGCTGGCTCGTCTGAAAAGAATTTGTGCACAGGAAATATAGAAGGAAGGGGAAAGAGGTCACTGCTCCAAGCCATTAAATTCCTGAAATACAGTAGTGGGCCCTTGTATAAATAAATGTTTTCCTGGGTGGAGAGGATTTGAATATTTACAGGTCTTACAAGGTAGGTGGGGGAGACAAATGAATCTCTCTCTCTCTCTCTTTCTCTCTCTCTCTCTCTCTCTCTCTCCTGAGACAGGGTTTCTCTGTGTAGCTTTGGAGGCTGTCCTGGAACTAGCTCTTGTAGACCAGGCTTGTCTCAGATCCACCTGCCTCTGCCTCCTGAATGCTGGGATTAAAGGCATGGCCACCTTGTCTGGCTTAAGTTTTATATATTTTATAGGAAAGATCGTATTTGATATTTCTTACATACCACTGTCCTCCTTTCCTTTTATTCCTTGGCTGAGTCTCAGAACTACATCTACAGCAGTTACTCCTCATCTCACATGAGCACCGGAAAGGATGTGAATACATTTTACAATACCCTTGGCTCCTGGAAAGACACAGACTGGGCAGAGACCCAAGATGCTCTCACCCAACATTTACTACCCAAGAGAGCTTAAATTAGACCACAAAACAAGTGGCCACTTTTAGTTCATACTCCTTTAATATCAGCCCAGCCAGCCCCAGAGGTTAAACTAATCACATCCTGTCATAATGGGCTGCAATCCTTTGGGTTATCTCAAGTACTTCTACTATTGATCCATGCTGACCTCTCATATATAAGCTCCAAGGAAGTGACATTAGTGATAGCTCAATCCCACGGGGGAGTGGGGGAGCAGGGGCATGAGCCACTCTTTTTTTTTATAGCCCACCTAATCTCAATTTTAGCCACACCACGTTTTATTCTCTATCTTCACAAAAACTTTTTTGGCTCCAGGCCCAATGTACTCTATGGTTGAGCCAGATTCTTAGAGCAATTGCTGTAATTGGAAGTGAATAATTTATAGCATCATTGGTCATCTGTACTCTCTCTATCTCTGCGCTCCCCCACCCCCACCCCCACACACAAACGTATCCAGAGTGTAAGCTTCAGTAGAAACCATGACTGGTTTTGTCTCAGTGCTTAGCATGACACTTGGTCAAAAGTTCCTGTCTGTTTCCTAGTTGTAGACTACTGTAACCATCTTGGCAGGAATGAAGATATTCTAAAGAGCTTGTGCTCTGCCCTTTGACTATCAGAATATTGAACCAATGGTCCAAATAAACCTAGTAGGCTCTGTTATGGTTGAAGCTTCACCACAGCCCCTGGTATCCTTATACCCAAAGATCTAGAATGTTATGTTGGAAGTTCCACCCAAGCCCCTTTCCCCTGTCTCCCTCCAAACCATGCATCTCAAAGAGCTCCCCCCAAATGATGACTCCCTTCCCCAGAGATGATCAAGACAAGCCCCACAGGGTATTTAAACTGCCTCCCAGAAAATAGATGTGTGTGTGTGTGTGTGTGTGTGTGTGTGTGTGTGTGTGTGTGTGTTTCATCTTCTCTGGGGGATTGAAGGCCATGTGGCAGCATTGTGCCCATTAAACATGGGTTTTTTCTAATTTGGTTTGGTTTGGCCTGATTTGGATTGCTGTGTCAGTGGAGAGGCTTATCAGGGTGCAGAAACTTTGCAAGTTCTGCCTCGAAGACCCTCTGGCTGACAGAGGGAAGAGATTTAAGTCTACTGCCAGTCAGGGGGAAAGCTGTTGGTCCCTCTGGACAAGAATAAGGTCACTACCATAACTCTTCAGCAAATATGAAGCACGATTTATTAAACTTCAGGCCAGGACAATGGACACTGGGCCATGCCATACCTGGGGTTCCCAGAGAATGGCTGTGAATGATATAACATCAGTCAGGTACTTATAAAGACAAAACTCTCATGGTTGCACACTTTCTGCCTTTTCCAATTGGGGGCAAGCACACATCCTGATGTACTTCCTGCCCTTAGGTCTCAAACCTGGGAAGAAAGGCTGAGGTGCCTATTTAACACATCTTAGCAGATGCTGGCCACTCAGGTGCTGCCTGCATCCCTCAGCCCCTACCTGTTACAGGGACTGACTGGCATATCCCATCCTGTACCCTAAACTTCCCCCAGGGAATGGGCTGCCCTTCCCCAGCTGCCCTTCTTTCTTAGTTAGGGTCTCATTGCTATGAAGAGGCACCATGACCACAGCAACCCTTATAAAGAAAAATCTTTAATTGAGACTGGCTTACAATTTCAAAGGTTTAGTCATTGTGGCCATGGTAGGAAGTATGGTAGCATGCAGGCAGACATGGAGCTGGGGAGGTAGACAAGAACTCTACATAGGGATCTGAAGGCAGCAGGAAGTGGCTGAGACATGCTTCCTCTAATAATGCCACACCTACTCCAAGGCCACACCCACTCCAACAAGGCCACACCCCCTAATAGTGCCACTCCCTATGAGTTTATAGGGACCACTTTCTTTCAAACCACACCTTCCCTGTATAATCCAGCCGTTTTAGTTACCTGATCTTTTCATCTATTCTCTTGGTGAGTCTTTTAGCCCAGGCTGCCCCTCTTGATTGGCAGCTGCCCTCCCGCTTCTCCTCACATGGTTCTCAGGGTCATGTCTGTAAGGCCCAGCCATGACAAGTTCAACAGAGGTCTGAGTTTCAGATTAACCTAAGGCAATATCTGGCTCTAGGAAAGACCACAAACTGAGACTACCAAGGCACCACGCAGGAACAGATCATCCAAGGGGAAAGTACCTAATGTTCTAAAGGAAATTCCTAACGTTCCAACTGTTGTAGATAGGCTCACCTAATGTCCCTTAGCCCAGCACAAATGTCAGCCAATCAGGGGGCCTGAACCTTAGAAATCCCTTACCCCGAACTCTGCTAGGATAAAAAACAAACAAACAAAAAACAAACAAACAAAAACCAAAACCCCACCCCAACTGAGCTCCATGCTCTCTGATCGAGCCAATGCATTCATTGGACACAAGGAGAGTCCTAGTTCAAACTTTAATGAAGGCTCTTTACTTTTATATACAGGGTTTTGGTCTTCTCATTGGATTTTGGGGGACTCCACATTCTGGGCATAATAATGTCTGCTCTGGACTCTCCCAGATGTCTCTGCCACTGGCTATGCTTGTTATAATGAAGCTTGAGGGGGCACCTTTCATGGGGGATCTTGGTGGATTCCAGGGCAAGCAAGGTTGACCGAGTTTGGGTGGGGAGGGCAAACAGACCAGGCAGACAGAGCTTAAGTGAGAAGTTTTAGAAAGGGGAGAGAGGGGGAAGGAAAGAGAAAAGAGGTAAAGAGACACAGAGACAGAGAGGACAGAAGAGAAGAGGGAGACAGAAAGAGTCTTGTTTGCCCTAGGGGAACTGTAGAGGAAAGGAAGCAGGAGAGAGAGGGAAAAGAGAGAGCAGAAAGGTGGGGGAGAGTGTAAATGGCTGAGGTCTTCCTTTTAAAGGGGCCCTTTGTACCTACAATGCAGACTAGTACTCATGGAACCCTGAGCTGACCAGGGTACTACCTAAGTGCATTCTGCCAGGTGACAGGGACAGGCCAGAATAATGCCTGAATCCTTACAATGCTCCCCTTTTATCTACAATAAACATTTGCCCCCACCATACCTAAGAGCAGTTGTGTCCTTCCCTTTTTCTTTCTCCATTTACCTGCCTAAGTACCTCCTCATACATGCTATCAAGCACTCCCTAAACAGTTGGGGCAACTAACCTTATTTATAAAAGTGAAAGCACATAACTTGTTATCTTACATGCCCCTAGCATTCCAGAA